AGCACCCCCAAAGCTCTGATCCTAGAATCGCCCCTGGTCAGGAGGTCAAGTCCATCCCTCTTAAAGTGACCTCCTCCATTACAAGTATACTGCAAGTGAAGTTACCTGAAAAGAAAGTTAAAATCTGAAATGACACTCAAAAAATATCTCAAAACATGTCTTTTTATTAATTGTATTTTAAATTCATCAAATCATTTGGGATCACACTTTTTTAAACACGAATAAAGTAATAAAAAAAACCTATCTGGTGCATATTTGTTACTAATAAGCCAAAAATAAGTGCATATAATTAAAAAGTGTGAGTAGTAGCAGAGTGCCTTTTGATGTCGTAAAAGTTTATTACACACTGACCCTTGGCACACTGATGATCATGTCACAGTAACCTGTGTCACTGATGTTTGATCAGTATCTATCTCTTTGGGCCTCCTGGGTTATTGTGTAAAATGAAAATAATAATAAGCCAGATAGATTCGATTAGGTGACATGTTACATAGCCCCTATGTGATAACAAAATGGTGTTTTTCTTCTGATTCAACTGTTAATACAAAGAGTGAAAATGCAAACAAAAGAAGATTAAGAAGCCTCTGAACCTTTTTTGTCTCAGAGTCCATTGGCCACAGAGAGGCTTAAAGGTCGCTTGTTTTCCAGCTCGCAGCCACATTTCCTCTCCTGTTTGTTGGAACAACGTTTAAATGTTTTTCACCTGGACTTTGCTGGCCCTGCTTTTTACGTTGATTTTACTGTGAGTATTCCTCCAAAGCAATAGCTGGGTGTCATCCTGGCAGAGTTTTTTTTTTTGTTTTTTTTGTTTTTTTTACTGTCCAACTGATGATCCCATTTTTTTTTTTCCTTTTTTGTAACACAGATATGGAATATGGCCATATCGGTTCTTCAAAAAGCTGGGGATACCTGGACCTCGGCCCCTGCCTTTTATTGGAACAATGCTGGGCACGAGGAAGGTACGCACAGAAACCAAACTCACCTTAGAGACTGGGATATGTAGAGCTGACTGATTTGATCCTTGAGAATTCGAGATGAGTGACCTCTCTGTATACTTTGGATGTCCTATTCAGTGGCTTTTTGACACTAAAACAGATTTTCTTGTAACTTCTTGTAGGGATTTCTTGCTTTTGACAGAGAGTGCCATGCCAAGTATGGGGACATCTGGGGGTGAGTTCTTGCTTCATCAGTATACATACAAGAAATCACCAGGAGGTCTGTTGATATCAAATTCTGTCTGTGAGCTATGATCACTGGGACAGGGTGGAAAAAATATTCACTGGCTCACATTTTTCATGAAGCCATTTTTCCTTTTGGCCTGAAGCAGATCTCTTTCAGTGGAAGCACAGCATCCAATTTTCTTTATTTTAAGGATAAAAGGGGAAAAAGGTTGGGGACAGTTCTTTACAACACAAGGCGAAGTTTCTGAAATGCATATATCCTACTATATCTACACTAGGTTCACAAACAGGTTCACAGTATAAGTATGTCAAAATTCCTTTATCAATATTTAGATTAAAATTTATATAAAATGATTAATAGAAGATTTGAAAAGCAGTTATTTCACTTCAGCTTTATTTGTTCATCCTTTTTCCCTCTTTTTTGCCAAATGAATTCCAGTCAAAATATGAGTTCAGGGAATCTGAAGTGAGAAACGTATGAAAACCTACAAAAATAAACTAAAAAATTTCTTATTCCATTGTCATGTATTTATTTAATAATAATAAGACCGTGATATCCCATTCGTAGCATCATGTGTAATCGATGTAATCGCCATCGATGTGTAATTTTACTACCTGCACAGATGAAAAAACCTCTTTGATTAACTGAAGGTGCTTTACATATCCAGATGCTTAACAATGCCTTAAATGATTTGCTGTGATTTAAGCTACTGTGAAAGGCTCTTTCCTTTTCTGCAGGTTGTACGATGGACATACGCCGGTGTTAATGGTGACCGACCCTGAGATTGTTAAAACTGTGATGGTAAAAGAGTGCTACTCTTTATTTACCAACCGCAGGGTAAGAGGCTCCGCTTTTTATCGTACAGTAGAGTGAAAATTCAGCAAATCGTGAAACCTTTGGAGATCCTGTCAGCGCAACACTCCCCAAAAGAGTTTTATCTTTTGCTTTTTTTTTTGAAAGCTAAACTGACATATGTCCCCCCCTAGATATATCATTAACAGAGGGTAGAAGGGCAGGTTAATAATTACATTTTACTCTGGCCTGTCCAAACTGTTCTAATTCCATATGCATTGATCTGTCCAAACAAAGTCCTACATGAAAATGCATAATATAGAGCTAACACAGAAATGATGCTACAAGATATTACAAATGATATTACATTATCTGAGCAAACTACAAGAGTTGTTAGGGGACTGGAAGATGTTGGTGGAAGCAAACTGTAAACACTAAGAGTAGTTTTTCCTTGTCGTTTTCCTTTTCAAAGGATTCTGGTTTCTTCAGCGAACCTCTGGATGATGTAGTGGCAGCAGTGAAAGACGAACGGTGGAAACGGATTCGCAACACTCTGTCTCCATGCTTCACCAGTGGAAGACTGAAACAGGTCGATATCATATGTGGGTTCATTAACCACGTCTGTGTTTAATGTGCGCTTACAACAAAAGTAATAGATTTATTTCTTGTTCAAATGTCATCACTTTATATTGGGGTTTTTTTTTTTCCTCAAACTACTTATACAGGCATCATTAAAAAGTATTGGTACCTTTACACATAATATATAAAATCACTAACATTTAGCTGTTTCTTTGGATAATACTGACATAAAGGTACACAGTAATTTGAGGTATTTCAGGAAATCACTAACATAAGGCACTATTTGTAGCTCCTAATAACCTTATTTCACTATTTCCACTTCAATTTAAAGTGAATTGTGTTCTGGTGCTTGCCGTTCCTTTTTTAAGTTCCCAAAGTGTGCAAATAATTATAGCTACATGTTGTCCATGGCTCAAAATATAACCACATAACAGACACTTTTGGCTGCCCCCTTATTCAAAAGGTGTCATTACACCTATTACATTTAGCAGATTGTTATACTAAATTTCTGTCTTCTCCTGGTACTAAACCAGTGAGTTTTTACTTGTTTAGCAATTGTGAAAACCACCTTATTATGGAGCTACCAAACATACCACTAGTTATTATTATTATTATTATCGGATATCACAAGTTATTTATAAATCCTCAGAGAAATCAGTAATTTTCAGAATAAACAGGAATTTGACTCTTTTATTGCTCTTTTATTGTTTTATTTTGTGGCAAACATGGGTATATCTCTCCAAAATAAAATAAAGGTGCCATCATTAGAGCATTCAAAATATAATATAATTCTCTTATTTTGTCTTTTATTCCTTTAAGGTTTTTCCCCTCGTTGCTCGCTATGCAGAACGACTTGTTGCAAAACTTAAGGAAACGAATTTGGATGAACCCATCAATGTCAAACAGTATGTTGTTAACCTGTAAAATGCCAGCGCATTACACTGTTCATCCTAAAATAACTGAAACATTCACCACATGTATTTTCAAATCTTATAGGTTTGTAGCTCCTTACAGTTTAGACACTGTGACCAGTGCTTCTTTCAGTGTGGAGACAGACTCCATAAACAATCCAAACGACCCTATTAATGTTCACATTATGAAGGTCCTTAAAGTCAACACTGGGCTTTTCTTTTTGCTAAGTATGACCTTACTTTTACTCTTTTACACAAACTCCATTTGATCATATCCTTTTGTTAACCACTCTTTACTCTTCTTTCAGTGGCATTTCCCCTCAGTCGTCGTCTGTTAAAGCAGCTCAAAATTGAGATCATGCCCAAAAAAAACATAAACTTTTTCCTCAACATCATCAAGCAATTTAAAGATGAGCATCGTGAAGCCAAATTTGTAAGCATTATATCTGTAAAGGAAGACCAACATTATCTAGTCTGTATGCACTTACCTCTGGGTCATTTTCAAGTCCTGCTCTGAATGCTTGTCTGCTTTAAACCAGACACGACCAGACTTCCTGCATGTGTTGATTCAGAGTGAGATCCCAGAAAAGAACTATAAGGACAATGAAGAACAGCCAAGTAAAGGTATGTTTTTATCGGAGAAGTAACCAAGCCCAATTTTTAAACTGAAAAATTGTCTTCTGAAAAAATGACCCGGGCTTAAGCCCAGTAAGCCACCCACCCCCAAATCCGAATCTCCCGAACACTATTTCGATCTGAGAAGCAAGACCGAGACAAGACCAAGACCAAAGTCCGTCGAGACCAAGACAAGACCAAGACCACATAAAAGTGGTCTCGACACATCCAACTCTAGAGTTTAAATACTTGGGGTCAACCATCCAAAGCAACAGATAGTCCAGAAGAGAGTGGACTGGACATAGAGTGAAGTGGGTGTATATGAGTGTGAGGGGGGAAGGCTAACAAGAATGTAGTTGTGCCTACATGTGAGGTTTAGAGATGGTGACCCTAGAAAAGGCTGAGCTGGAGGTGGAAAGCTCAGGTTGAGCACTTTAACGATAACGAACGAAGGCTGAGATAATTTGTAAATGTCCAAAGGATGGATAGTAGATATGTTAGGTAAAGGGTGTTGAAAATGGAGCTGCCAGGCGGGAGGAAAAGGGAAAGACCTCAGAGGCAACTCATCTATGTAGTAAAGAAGGACACGCAGAGCGTTAGTGTGACAGAGGAAGATGCTAGCGACAGTGTGAGATGGAGAAAGATGCTCTGCTGTGGCTACCCCTACAGGGGGCAGCTGAAAGAAGATCAACAATGTCAACCAGTATTTGGTCCCTGCTCCACTTTTTATTACCATAAAATCTTTTGTTTTTTGTTTTAGGTTTGACTGAACATGAGATCCTTTCCCAGGCCTTCATCTTCACCCTTGGAGGCTACGACACCACTAGTAACACTGTTACTCACACCCTTTATAATCTGGCTAAAAACCCTGATGTGTTGCAGACCTTGCACAAAGAAATCGATGATAACCTGAAGGAAGATGTACAGTAATTCTTTACATAATTTTCTGCCATCTTTGTTTGAATAATGGACACCAATTTATTTTCTTTTTGTGCTTGCCACCTCCATTATTTGTCTAGGCGCCCATTTTATACGAGGAGCTGACCAGTCTAAAGTACCTGGACCAAGTTATACTTGAATCAATGCGACTGTTTCCCATTGCTCCTCGCCTCGACAGGGTGTGCAAAAAGACTGTTAAAGTGAATGGCCTCACCATCCCTGAGGGAACCGTGGTTGGAATTCCTGTGTGGGTGTTGCACAAAGACCCACGCTACTGGAACTCACCTGAGCTTTTCAGACCAGAGAGGTAAATGTGTGCCATTACAAACTTATTGAAAACTCATCCACTGGGACATAATTCCTAAAGAAAATGTTGTATTTGTGCAGAGTAACCCAGCCATATCTCTCTTTTTACACACCTGTTATGTTATTTTTTAATGTTTCAAATAGCGGAATAAACGTAATTTTAAAAGTCTCATCTGTATCTGCAGGTTCAGTAAAGACAGCGGGGAGGAGGTGAACCCATATGCGTACATGCCATTTGGACTCGGCCCTCGTAACTGTGTTGGGAGGCGCTACGGCCTACTCACCATGAAGATGGTTATTGTCCGTCTCTTGCAGAAGTACACTTTGGAAACATGCAAAGAGACCATGGTAAGAACAGCACTCTGCCACATTCAGACTGTCATACAACTATGCTGTCATGTTCCTGATTTTCTTTTCTTTTTCTTTTAGATTCCACTTGAGTTTGACTGGAAGTTTGAACCTGTTCAGCCAGTAAAACTCAAGTTTGTTCCCAGAAAAGAGTAATCTAAGAGGGAACGTCTCCAAATCCCATCAAACATGTTTTTATATCTGCTGCCAAGATAAATTCACTGAGTTGATATTTTCAACTATTTTAAAATGTTATTGAATGAGAGCAGGTTAAACATCTGATTTTGCTGTGTTGATCTCTTTTTATTACTTTTATTTAAATTGTGTTGAAAAATTGATCTATTTTGTGTCCAAAAGTTACACCAGTCGGTGTCTTAAATGGACCTTACACTCAAGAGATTTTGACTTTAACGTTTATACATTTTTAAATTGTAATTGCATTTATTAAATCATAAGGCTACTGCTTGTGCGATACACCTCACTGATCACTGTAGTTTTATTATTGGTGGTATCTGTCTCCACCTAGCTTCAACAGCTGGCAACAAGCGTTGATTTGTTCTAAACTTTGACGACTGTCCATTGCTGGTTATATAGAAAGAAATTTCAGATTGTGTCATCAAATGCAAATACTTGTATCGCCTGTTTACCGTCAGTGTCTTTCATGTTTTCACAATAAAATATGTCCAAAATCCAAAGTTCCAGTATGTTTCCAGAACTGAGCATCTGTGCTTCTTCTTCTATGCTGACAATTTGGACAAATTTTGTTTTCCAGAAGGAATAGTTCCACATGCTCCTTCTCTTTTATTATTTTTAACAGCGGTATGTTGAACAAATGCAGTACTGTGTAAAAATCTGTAAAAAACTGTAAAGTTTGCCTGTTTTTACAGTGACAAGAATACTCAACAGCATCAGCCAAAAGATCAGATTATGATCCTTCATTTTCAGGACCCTCATCACATGCACTGAACATTAACTTTTTACTCCTAAGTGGATTTCACTGGAAAGGATTTCAAAGGTGATACAAAGTTTCCTAGTAAATTTTATACCATGTCATCAATTTTAAAACAATAAATGTTTAAAATAAGCTAAATGGAACTATTATGCTTTTAATAATTTTAACTCATATAAGTTGCAATGCTGATGGTTAACCAGTTTCAAATAATAAAGTCCAAACGTGTAAAATCCCTACAAGGCTCACTGAGCTCCACCCACTTTATGTTTAAATCATCCCTTTAGAGGGTTAAAATGGCTTGTTTCATAGACAGGATAAACTGCGAAGCTGAATAAAGTAGCGGTCCTAAACCTTTTTTTGCACCACAGACCGGTTTATGACCAACAATATTTTCACGGACCAGACTTTAAGGTGTTGCGGATAAATACAACAAAATAAAACCAGTACTGGTACCAAAAAAAAA